ATAGGTTTGGATAGGTGTTAAATGGGGGATAAATGGTTTTTCTATTGTGAGATAAGAACCAAGGCAAACCCTTAAGCAGACACCTAATGGCCCTCCCATTGTTTCAGTATGATAATGTTAAGAGGGCTATTTTTGGCAGCAGAACATGATCACTCTTGGGTCATGCAATAGCTTGGAGCTGATCCTGTTTTGCACAAGCAAAACATGAGCATGCTTGGTGGCATGGTGAAATGAAAGAAGCTGAGAATGAGAAAAAAAATCTGTATCTGAGAAGGACTGTTGTTTTGTAAGTAGCTGAGTAGGCTAAACAAGGAGCCACTAGCACAATGAACGTAATTAAAAAGAAAGAAAAGTGTTGAAATTATTGAAGTGAAGGAATGCTGGAGGGAGCATTGTATAGAAATATGTTGAAGAGTGAAACTACAAATGTCCACAAGAAACCTGATGAAAATACATGCTGTGGAAATTTTGAAAAATGATTATGTGTAGGTACAGACACCATTACTGGAAAAATGTTAAAATATGGATATAGTTTGTCTACAACTTGTGTGTGAAGACTATATCTGTGCCTGACAATTGGAAGAATGCCATTATTATTCCCCTATACAAAAGGAAAGGTAGCAAGACTGAATGCAAAACTAGGGTTAAGTGTGTCTCAGAAGATGTTTGGCAGCATTCTGACAGAAAAGGTGCAAGAGCTTCAGACCAGCTTTAAGTCATTGAGCAATGCTTCAATATGAGAAGGAACGTTTATTATACGTTTATTGAGTTAGAAAAAGTGAATAGTGAAGAAGCGTGAATTACTGAAATATGGAGTTGAAATTTTTGTTGCTGAATGTGATAAAAGCAGTACATGATGAAAATAAACACCACATGTGAATAAATAGAATGCCTGGCACATGGTTCCACCTTGAGCAGGAAATAAGGATATATTATGATCCCTTGGTATATATACATATGCACACACCCTCTCACCCCTATGGGTGGTCTGTGCCTTCCTCAATCTCAGGTTCTTTACCAGAGATTTGGGAGTTTGAGGGTTCTGCGCAGAACCTTAGCTGTTCTTAGCACTGCACTCTTCTGGACAGAGATCTCTGATGTTCTTCCTGAGATCTGTTGGAGCCCCTCTCCCAGCTTGGGAGTCACAGCCCCGAGTGCTCCTACCACCACTGGCACCACTTTGGCCTTTACTTTTCACATCCTCCCTAGTTCCTCCTTCAGGCCCTGGTACTACTCCAGCTTCTCATACTTCTTCCTGATGTTGCTGTTACTTGGCACTGCTACATCTATCACCACCACTATCTTCTGGTCCTTGTCTACTTCTATGATGTCTGGTTGACTGGCCAGTACCAGCCTGTCCATCTGGATCTGGAAGTCCTGCAAGATCTTAGCCCTGTTATTCTCCACAACTTTTTGTGGAATCTCCCATCTGGACTTGGGAAGGTCTAGCCCATACACTGTGCACATGTTCCTGTACACAAGGCTAGCTACTTGGTTGTGCTGTTCAGTGTGTGATGTTCCTATCGGCATCTTACACCCTGCCACTATGTGTTGGACTGTCTCTGAGGCCTTTCTGCATAGTCTGCACCTTGGACCCACACTAAACAGATATATATA